CTGCCTCCCATCACACCGTCCATACCAATTTTAAAACAATTCAATAATTACTAATTTCTGAAAACAAACACTAATAATGCTACTTACTGCAGGTTAAATTTTTGAAAACATAATAGATAATATTTATTTTATATCCTATTATAATTAATACTATTATATGTGGTTTTGTTTTTTATTTATGTGAACAACTTTTCTACTAGAAATCTTGCTCCGTTTATTTATTTTAGAGGTAATGGTTTCTGTAGTTAAACATTTTGTTTTGTTGGTGCAATGAGGAGGTTTTATAGAATTTTTAACTATGGGAAAAACCCTAGGATAAATTTTAACTATTACGCTTACACAGTAACGGTTTTTGTTATATCTATTTTGTTTATTCAATGATAAATAATCGTAGAAACTGGAAGTTTGCATTAAATGTATACACCTCTTTCTAGACACTGTACAATTTTCAAATCATCGTGGACATTTTTTCAGTTATATCCATTTGAAATTTTCGAGTTTTTAAGGATTTTATGAGATTAATATTGTTTTGGAAGTTAATTATAAAATGGAAAAAAAAAACGTAAGTTCAACGTAATGTAGTAATTTTTTTTATATGCACTTTACTTCAAATTAGAATGCATTTTGGTATAAATTATAAATATGTACTAGTACTATCCCATCAGTGGTGTTGTTCAAGGGGGGTGGATTTTATTAAAAAAATATGAATATTATATAAACAATTTTAGTTTATAAAAATTACGTAAAAACAAGGTACAGAAGAGGAGGGTGATCGCCTTAGCGTCTCCCCTTGTATCTGCCATTGTGTCCCATGCGTTCCAATTCAAACAAATAGTAGAGATAGGTACGCCTTTATTTCTGAAAAATTAGTTGAGGTACTCCGTCTTCTGGCGTCCCCCTAATTCAAATTGATTTTCATGATTATCTTAGGTTATTATCCCGTGGTTATAATTTGTATGTAGGTATAGGGAAAAGACAAAACAAGGATCAACGGAAACCTAGATCTACCGTGCTCAATTAGATTCTCATAAATCAATTAGTTATCTTATCTCAACTAAATCCCGATAGATAATATAGATTTTTAGTTCTTTAATTAGATCTTTGGTTGATTAAAATAAATTTCTTTTTCAAGATCATTATATAAAAATACAGTGTTGATATTTTAATTAAATTCCATGTATTGAATTGTAATATGAGTACCATGATATTTTTACATAACTATTGTCTGTAGAGTCTAGGTGTAGGGGTTAAAGGCATGAGTATAGTTAGTATAGTATAAGTATACAATATTTTTCATCAATATTAAGCCTATAGTTTATATCCTCGTGTATATCTAAATGTTTTCGTATCTTCCACACGTACAACGGCTTTGTGAACTTTGTGGGAACTTAGTTTGCTAACGTGGTCAGTGATTTAAAAGTAATTTACTCTAAGAAAAACTCAAAACACTTAGATCTTTTTAAATTAGTTTACACTATCTAGATGTGTAGGTTAGGTAGACACGTATTTAATTGGTTGTTTTTATTTTTAAATTGGAATAGAAAAGTGCAAGTTGTATTATTTAATGGTTTTTGTATAGTTTTTACCAATAGGCCAATTTTCAAATACATATTGGTGTATCAGGGAGATCTGACAAATGTAAAAAATCGTGTTGTTATCAATGTGTATTTTTTTACCATAATAACTAATAGTCTTATTACGTTATGAGTTTTATATTGTATACTTAAGTATTCCTTTTAAAACTAAAAATTCAAAATTTAATTTTTTAAAACATTTCTTTACAAAGAAGATAGGTATCTAGTCATAGAATAAATTTATAATTTTGAAACAAAATATTGATAATACAAATGTTTACTAATGATGATTCGTTAATTTTTTACAATTTGTTTAAGATTAGGATAATTTAAGTTGTTTTCATGGAATTCGCCACTGTATTAAATAATATTTGATTTACTATAAATTCCATGAAAAAGTACCTATTTATAATAATGTGATAACATTTGTATTATAGTTATTACTGTAGGGCTTGGATTTTGTAGCAAATGCAACTCTTGAGGGGAGTATGTTCGAAAGATAATTCTTATATATAAATAAGTTTTAAATCGTTTTCAACGAAGTTAACTTTATTTTGTTTTTTTCTCATTTGATCCTATTTTCTTATTTTTTACATAATTCTCATATTCCTATGAACAATTTTTTCAATTCTACTGTATTATTATTGCCAGAAGCTTAATTTGTAACTATTTGTAATCTACTTTTTAAAATGTGTAACCTCGCTCCACCAGGGTTACGGCCATTTTCTCGAGGGGCTAGCCCCCCAAATGGTTAAAACTATTTAAAAGTCAATAAGTCAATAGATATTTGATGAATACATAGAATCTATTGTATTATTTATATTGCTTATTAGTTATTAAAAAACAATTTGACAGTTACGGTTTAAAAATTATAGGGGTCTTCCCACTGTACTTATAATAATTGTATTAGTGAAGAGAAGCTGCCAATTTATTTCTTTTTGATGTTTATTTTAATTTTTATTGGCCAATAGCAAAACAATAAAAAAACCACTATAAATAAATATAAAAATAAAACAATAAATTACACCAATTAGTGTTAAGATAAGTATATCTGGACGGGTTCTGTAACTAATTTAATTGTGAGTTGTGACTAACCTTTTAAAGTTTTTAAATTAAACTGTGATCGATAAATCTAAAATAAGGGTTCCTTATAAATCTATAATGCTTTGCAATTAATTAAAACAAAAGATTATTTAAATGAAACGGTTATACTTTGCACAATGGCCAGGCCACTATTGTAGGTGAGAAGTTAGGAAGGTAGGATATTGAGGGGAAATTAATTTATTCCTGTAAGCAACGATAAACCATTACTTACGAAAAATGATTCGGAGCGGAGCTTGGTTAATAGTAGTGCGTTTTCATGACAACAACAATTATTTAAATATTATGACAAAAATAAATATCAAATCAGGAATATCCAACCACACTGGATATTAGACGAGAACGAAATGGAATAAAATTATGTTTATAAATGTTTAACACAATTATTAATTTTAAATTTCTTTCAGTATAGTCCTGTTATAAATAGATGTTTAATGACAACAGAAGGAAGTCCAAGAACGCTGCCGCCGTCTCCGTAACGTCAAAATTAGGAAAGAAACGAAAAATAATAAACTTGTGTCTACCACAAATCGATCTTATTATTATTTTTAATTAAACCACAATCGATTCTATCGTCGCTGTGGTCGTCGTTACTACGGTTATAGATTAACCATGGTCTATATATTATATCAGGAGAGCTGCGCTCTACCCGATATCGTATTACCGATATTATCGATTTTTTTCGGTAAGTTTTACACTAAACTAACGTTTTCCTTTAAATATTAACAGACATAAACATTTATATGATCAATGATCTATTTTTGACCATAGATATGGTTAAAAATGTTTTTTATAAAAATAAAAATCATTAGAATTTAACTATAATATAGGTAAGTCGGTAAATAATACAAAATAAACCCCAAAAAGAAAAATGTCACAACACTGGAATTTCAAAGTTACAAACTTTAAAAATTCGGTTACAAATGGTTACAAATTAAGTTTTACGTTGGGGAGGCTAGCCCCTCTTTGAGGAACTAGCTGTAACTCTGGTAGAGTGAGGTTACAAATTTTAAAAAGTTGGTTACAAATTAAAAGGAAAATAATAAATTTAATTTTTATCGATTTGGTTGACGAGGGGGGGGGGCTCATGTGAATTTGGCTCCTCACTGAGAAAATAATTTTAACTTGTGAACGACGAAGTTACAAATTCTAAAAAGTTGGTTACAATTAGTTACAAATTAAAAAAAATAGGTTACAAATATTTTGGATGTTTTGTTATTAAGTGGAGAGGCTAACTTTACACACGTCCGTAACTACTTAAAAATATTTGTATTCGTTATGAATGATTTGAGCAATATTTGAGTTATATATTTATTCGTAAAACGATCGAGTAAAATTAAATTATTATTAATTAAGTTCGCGATTTGGATTCGTTTTGATTAATATCATCATTTCTATATAGAATATTATTTAAATTTAAAAGTATACGTACCAATAATGTATTGACATTCGGTATAAAATACTCATATAATGATATACGATGTATCTTGTATACCGATTGTAGTTTTATAATTATTTGTTCATATTATACGAGTATTAGTTTATAAATGTACTGTAATAAAGTGAATAAAGGGGTACAGAAAAAAAAAAATGAATGTATAACCACTAATCACTTAGATTACTTATTACAGCCTACGACGGTAAGAAACCATTAATATAAGATATACACTACGAAGAGCAACAATAATATACTTACCTATCCTGAACGGAGTATCCTCAGCAACAATGTTGAGTTTGAATACAGGTATAATTATATTTATTTATTATGTTGATGAAAATAGGTAGTAGGAACGATAAAATAAACACTTGATTAAATTAAAAATGATGATATCTAAATGTTAGAAGCCGTGGAACAACACGCACTCGCGGGAAGACGAAAAAGATGACGAGTCGCCAAGGCAGGATTCGGAGGCCGAAAGAATCGAGGAGTCTCTTATGAGAAAGAAAAGGGAAAATAGTGGAGTGGTGTTGTCCAGTTCTCATTATCATGTTTTATTATTATATGAGATATTTAATACTGTAATACATACTATTTTGTGTTAATCTAAATTGACTTATAAACTGATAAAATAAAGTGGTGTCCACTATAATAAAATATAGTGTAGATAATATTAATATTATGGTATATACCATATTGTATATATCATTACAGTACTTACGTCATTACGTGAACCGGTAATATATTTTTAAGTTTTCACGGTGTAGGTGTATATTAATTGCGAGAACCGCGAGGAAACTTAAAGAATGTCGAGGTGACGCGGAGATACGTACTTTTGTGTGTGTAAGGTGAAAATAATAAGCATCATATTGTGTATAATATATAGTTACAAAATCGTGACTTTATTAACAGAGTTTTTATTACCAAAAATACAATAATAATAATTGATGTGTCCACGTGAAGATAGTGTATATGCAAAAACTTAAAAACTAACAAAAAAAAAAAAAAAAAAAAAACTTTTTTTTTAATATTTAGCCTTTTTCCTCCTCGTCGTTATCCTTGATGACGACGGGAAGAGGAGTTTTGAGCGTGACGGTACCGAGAAACGATTTTCTTCGCGAAAATGTCGAAGTTCACCGGTTCAGTTTGACCCGCGCGAGTACGAGGCGTCAAACGGTTCCGACGTTCCTCGGTATCGTCACGCCCCCCCCCTCCGGACCATTAACCATGGAGGGGAGTCTATACAAAACTCGACAAGTTATACACATATAAGAATAATATTATAGTTATTTACGCACGTTATACTTACACGTAGTGTTTGCGTATCGTATCGTAACTACGTTATATTATATCCGGTACCTAAAACATCGTAGCAATGGTGGGAGGGGACGGAGGCGGTGATGGCGTGGCGTGTGGTCGGAAGAGAGAAGGAAGGGTGTTTACAAAGTGTTGGCTGGTAGGTTGGTGCCGGTGACGCGGAAACCGTTGACCGGGTCGGAGACGTAGTGGTACTGTTGGACTAGTCCGTTGGCGTCCACGTACGAGTATCCACCGCGGGTAACTCCGTCGATGGTCTTGACTTCGGCCTTAGACGACGAACCGCTGTTGTAACCGTACGAGTACTGGCCGAACTCGTCCTGGGAGTGGTATTGGCTGTTGACCGGCGAATACGCTCCGGTGTATGACGGTACGGCGGCGGCGTACGGGGCGTACGCATAAGCGGCTGGGGCGGCGGCGTAGGCGTAGGACGCGACCGGGGCGTGGATGGCGTACGACGGGTAAGTACCGTAAGCGGTCGGGTGGTAACTGTAAGCGGGGGCGGACACGTGGACAGCTGCGGGCGCGGGTGCTGGAGTCTCTGCCTTGGCGACCGGTTCAGCGGCGGGTGCTTCGACGGCTACGGCTTCGGACGACGGTTCCTCCGGTGAAGCTTCGGCGGCCTTTGCGGCTTCGTCGTAAGCAATCTGGTGAGCGGCCTTGGCAGCCGCCACTTCCGGAGTGTCCTGCACCTGCTGCGGGAGCTCGGCGTCGCTGGCTGGTTTGATCTCGACTGCGGCGGCTGGGGCTGCTGCCGGTGCTTCGACTGCAGGCACGGCTGGGGCCACGGGCAAGTTGGTGCCGGTCACGCGGTAACCGTTTTCGTCCGACAAGTACTTGTACTGTTGCAACACGCCGTTCGGGTCCACGTACGAGTAAGATCCCTCGGTCAGACCGTTGGCGTGCTTGGTTTCGGATTTGCTGGAGTAGCCGTCGTTGTAGCCGTAAGCGTATTGTCCCAGTTCGTTTTGCGTGTGGTATTGGCTCTTGATCGGGCTAACCACTGCGGTCGGGTAGTAACCGCTGTAGTATTGCGGACCGCTGAAGTATAGGGACGGGCTGGCCGAGCATGCCGCTACGAGCCCAATTACAACCACCTGTGAACGACAGTATTTCGTTACGCGTATATAATAATACTAATAACAATAAATTTAGCGTGTTGCTGTTGAACGAGCGGTCGATGATAACGGTTTACAATGGTAACATTCTATGATTATTGCTGTTCGATTCGTCACGGGGATACTATAGGTGGGTAATACACCGTGGGGACACGATACCTTGTGACCCTTTAACAGCCGTGAGTTATAATTCCGAAATGGTATACTGCTGCGGTGCGAGCAATGACGATCGTTTCCACCTCTAGCCCCCCCTCCCCCGAATCTCCGTTACGCGACAATATACGCGTCTAGCCGAGTCGGTCAAACGGAATGCGTATCATAACAATATATTATATTATCTGTTATTATATTATATTAATTAATGTTATGTGCGAATGTGCGATCCGTTTGTCCGGCGTGCGCAACAGTATCAATATAATACGTATAGTATTACAAATCAGCGGCTCCTCCAGTGGCCCAGATACGCGCACAATCGAATTTCGGAAATCGTCGCGTTACTCGGCGCGGAGATTCGGACGTGTTAATTTTAGAAGAGGAGACCCCCCATTGTGCGACGGTATCGCGTGTATTATTATTATTATTATAGCGACGGTCGTATAATATATATTATTGTCGTAGAGCTTATTTAATAGCTGCAGATGCAGAAGTACATCATATTATGTACGACGTGTGTATACGTATGGCGGGCATTGAGAATTATTGTCGTCCGGAGTGTGGTGCCGATTGACCGATGACAAACGATATTATACGCGTACACGTGTGTACCATAATATACGAGCGTACATACGTCGTATAGTATTATGTGGTAGTGCGATCGTCGTCGCGGACGTGCGATTCGCGATTTTCCAAAGGTCTATTATTATTATTATTATTATTATTATCGCCGTAGTATTCCGCTCGCGCCCGGACACCGTCATGCACAATAATACGTAATAATAATGGTAATAATATGACGTATGTGTGTGTGTGTGTGTAGTACCGGTATGTCTTTGTGTCGTGTATATTTATTGGAAAACGAATATTTGTCGAGTTCAACATACGCTTGCGCGCCGAATTCGCCGTCCGATAAGATATAATATACGAGGAGGTACGACTGCATACACATCATTTTATTATGTCCGTTTTCCCGATAAAACAGACTGCACACAGCGACGGCATATGCCGTACAGCCGTTTTAGACGTGTGAAAAAAAAAAAAATAAAAAACGTCCGATAATTATTATTATGCATACGGCAATGCAGTGGAAATTCGGTATCTCGAAGTCTCAGGAGACCAGAAAAAAAAAAAAATCGACACATCGAAACTTCGAGTCACTGAGGGAACCACAACAACCAACACTGAACAGCCGCGGCTGAAAAAAAAATATCGACGTACAGAAACTTCGAGATAGCGAGGCCCCACTGTACGCGTATTGCACCCGTGATTTACATTGATGTGTTACTGCGGTGTATTTTTCGGCGCATCCGAGTCCACCCCGGGTTCCCGCCCGGTCGACTAATAATTATAGTAACAATAATACCGTGGTATTATAATACAGTAAACGGAAGTTTAGAGAAACAAAACACCGCGATGTCCGGCGTAATATTTACCCGCAGTTCATAGACGTTTAAAAACGTACTCGGACAGATATACCCGCGCGGAATAGTGACGGAAAAGTGAAAACGTACAAGTGGAACATGCACACACACACACACACACACACACACACACACACACACATATATACATATATATATATTTACATTGTTTAGAAATACGCGCGCGTTGCGGATGAAATAGCAAACATAATCGCCGGCAAAATATGGATTCCCCCGCGAGTCTGTAGAAAAACGAAATGGAAAACGTGGTGTTAATCGTATTATTGCTTTCGAACGGTCGGGCCCGACAATACGCACGTGTTGTTATAGCGGGCAATCGTGCTTACCGAAAGCCGCGGGACCCCGTCCAGCGTACAGTACCCGAAATGAATCGGGCCCCGACTGCCTGTAGTGCCCATCTTGTACCCGACTTGGCGGACGCGGCCGAATTTTCAACCCCGTACCGCCGTCGCTCGACGTATACGTAGCGTACGAGCGTTCATTACGATATTATGTGCGCGCGCGCGTCGTACGCGACGGCTATTGTATTTCACGCGTGTATCGTACACGCGCGTTGACGTGCGTTTAAGCGAAACAAAAAAAGGACCGCTCAACGACGGTACATTTTTTTTTTTTTTTTTTGTTTTGCCCGAGCCTTTGCAACGCCGACGATATTTTTTATTGTGATATCATATACTCTTACTGTTATGTATACATATATATATATATATATATATAGAGAGAGAGAGAGTACGTTATCGTGCGCGGGATTTCGCGGCGGGCGCGTGGATACAATATAATATTATATCGTTCGCTTTCCAAATCGCGTTGTTCTTTCGGGGGCCGTATCCTAGCGACCTAATGCCGGCGGGTCGCATTTCGCCGAAACAATCGCCGCCCGGCTGAGGGTATTTTTATTCCCTTATTATTATTATTACATTAAGGCGCGCGCGTGACCGACATGTTCGGTAATACGGGCGACCCGCGAAAAATGCCCACTATTCGGAATGCGAAACCGCTTTATAATAACAATAATATTATCGGTTTCGAATTGATAATATTGTAATAACGTGCGTATAAAACGTCTACGCCGCCGCCGCGGCCGAAACGCGCACCGATCGTTAAAGTCTCCGGGGCTGCTGCAGCGTACATAGAAAATTGTCGGCCGTTTTTCAATATACGCATCCGAATACGATTTAATTAATCACACACATTCGCGCAACTACGCGCGCAAACACACACACGTACACACATCATCTGTTTTGACGTTTAATAGGACTTTCAGTTCATTCGCATTATTATTATTATTATTATATGTACACACACGCACAGTTTCTTCCGTCGCCACAGGCATACCGTGACAAATAGATCAATCGTCATTGTCGCGTTTGTCACGGTTGCGTCTCGCGTATAGTATTATATTATTATAAAATATAGGTATAGAACCAGGCTCTCGGTTGAATGGATCGCGCTGCAGCGTACGTTTTTTTTTTATAATATATGTACGATTCGTGGCCGGGTCATACGATTCCACTACGGTGGCCCTTATAATATATATATACGTGTATTCCGTCTCATGGGTTCAAGAAGTTATTATTTTTTCGATTTTGTATAATATATGTAATAGAAATACCGAGAGAGAAAAATAGAGAGGAAGAGATCAACGAAAAATGATATCGACTACGTCATTATATGGAACTCGATAATTCAATGAATTCAATGTATACATATAGGATATGTGGTATTATATACACCTGTATATATATATATATATATATATATATATCGTAAACGTTTTATTATATCGCTTAGTCGACGGATTCGCGGTGTTTAGTAATTTTCCGAGCGGATTTAATTTGATATACTAAGCGAAAACTAATCCGATCCTTTGAATTATACCTATATACATATATATATATATATATATATATGTAATCGCCTTCGTATCGATTTTTATTTCAGACATTATATTATATATATTATATTTTATTATTATAATTGATATACGCGTCGATTTTATTACGAAATATTACGAGTATAACGTGTAAATTTCATGAATTTCGGGCGGAAACAGTCGATATGTTATATGCAATTATATATAATATTATACACGAAACAGCATAGCTGCAGTAATAATTCCCGCGTGCGCATAAAATGGTGGGTCTCGATATTATGTTTTTCGTTGTATTATGGATATAATACATATGTAGGATGAGGCACCTATCGATAGTGTGTTCGAATATTTCCGAACCGATTATATACACTTTGTATCACACGGCGATAGCTGGCGTGTATAATAAAGAATGGACCGCGCGCGGCTGTGGATAATCGTCGTACTGCAGGTATAGGTGACGGACGATTTGAAATTAGTCACGGAACGTTCGTTTCGATTGACCCCCCAAAAAGATGCGTGGTAACATGCTAATAGATATTACACACTCGTTTAGATCGCCGTTTGATTGGATGAATGCGCTAATCGATTTTTATCATCTCTTTATATTTTATTATGTTTTTGGATTGAATCGAAAACGAGATATCAAGTATAACCTACAGGCGGGCACCTATAACACTGTTATTATATAGCCATGCGCGTTTTGGTTTTTGGAACGAATAGAAAAATAAAAATAAACCGATACAATTCGGAGGGACAGTATAGTTTTTAATTTTTTAAAAGCTCCCAAAACGACTCGTAGTTTTTTTCACCGATTGAATTGAAAATCGACGGGGACTTTTTTTTAATATCTATAACTTACTAACCGTTTAATGAAAACTGCGTTTCAAAATGTGTAACCGTATAAGAGATAGAGCTCGCATACGGACTAATTCATAAAGTAACTTATACGTTATACCCAATGAATAGTAAACACTTTTAATACTATACGTAATTAATACTAATCAATATATATATATATATATATATATATTATAGTTTCGGTCATTTTTTTTATTTTTTTAAAATAACAATGTGATTTTTATGCCGAAATCCGAGTAGAGTTTGGATGTTTTCATGTCCGTTACGAATAAAACATTATACTATTGTATAAATCTGTATTCGTTTTTTTAATTTGTATTTATTGCGTATATAGTACACTTTGATATTTCTTTTAGCGCACTGCAACCTATCTGCTTTAAAATATAATATGCAAATATTTCCCCGACCAAAAATGTTATGATAAAATTAGTATTGCTCGCGGACGTATAATAAAACAAAGAACAGCAATGTATATTATTGTGTATCATAATGAATGTAAATTTCCTGAAACAAGGCAATTATACTACTATCGTGAATGTTCAATTGCCATACGATTCGGTTTAAATGTTATTCATTCGTATTATAAACTATTTAAATTACACACACGATTATTAAATATATACTGATAACTTTAAATGCGGGTTATAGTTTTTATAGAAACAGAATTCATCCAACTCGGCTATATAGAATAATAGGTACATGACTACTAACAAATATAATACAATTTTTAAAATATCAATTTTGTTCCGAACGGACTGATAAAAGGAGTATTTATAAATCGAGTATATTAAAAGCACGTAAGACGTGTTCGAATGAAACGGTTTTGCACGAATTTTGTTCACCAATTGAAATATTGTGATCCTTAATATTTTTAACTTTTAAGTTTTTCTTTGAACTATTTTCAACGAACTGGAAAAATAGCGTATAGGATGGTACACATGGTAAATATAAAAAATATGCCGAAGAATACGATACACGATCGTCAAAAACTATATTGGTAAAAATAATTCGCACTGCCGGTATAATATTAGAAGGCATACGATGTTCACAACTAATTTTTCGAATTTTCGCGAACATAAACCAAAATCCCGAATAATAATATTATTATTTTCATGAAAAGCAACGCGAATAAGATAAAAGTATTTTGATCGCGATTCGTCAATTGTGACTAACATAATATTTTATATGCTCGATAAATTATGCACGGTTAAGCTCGAGTGAAAATTACAAAGATCGGTATTTTGGAGAACGAGGAGACAATTTCTATACGCTTAGAGGAAATTCCGAAGCGGATTCGGTGCCTTTACGGCAGCGTTTTATCACTTCACCATTAGGTTTACCGGGGAAGTAGAGAGAAATGTATATTATAACATATTACGGAACGAAAATCGAATCGGAGTGTTTTCGGCGCGGACAGCAATGAAGACGGCATATGTTTACGTAAAAACATCGTCGGGTACTCACCATCAGAGACGTCATGATGCAGGCGGGTTTGTTTTGTGGTGTACTAGGCGACTGACTGCGAGAGATGCTTGGCTGCTACGGTTTGGTCCGGTGCTTCGGGATGAATGGTAAGAAGAACCGGACGACCGGCGGTTTATATACCGCGCAGGACCGGCGTCCGGCCAATGTCATTGCCGTTGCGCCGCGCGCGATTATTCCTTTCGCCCGCGGCCATTCGCAGCGGCGGCCGCCGTGTCCCATCGTACCGCGCGCGTATCGTCTCCCGGCGGCCGCGGCGTTAGTCGTCCTGTACCGCTCGCGACCTCCCGTCAACCTGGCCGTCAAGGCCGCCGTCCGTCCGTCCGTCCGTACGTACGTACGTCGCTCGCGCCCACGCCCTGCCGCCGCCGCGTAATCCGATGCGTCCCCTGCGTTCTGCGTCGCCACCGCGGACGCGCGCGGGTGACGACACGTCCACGCCGCCGCGGCAAAAGCGCGAAGAAAAATACGCTCCGCCACTTTGCGTTCGTATACCCTCGACGTTTCGTTCGCTCATTCGCTTTTGACGCGCACACACGACCGCACTGCAGTGTTGTCGCGCGATCATCCGCCGTCGCGCGGGACGCGTTCCGACCGCCGACCGAATATATCCGACAATATTATGTTTTTTTTTTTTTTTTTTTTTTTATTTTAACTTTTAAATCGCCCGTATCGTTTTTTTAAAGGGAGCGCGCGACTATTTTCCGAATACCTTCGTCGAGCGGTCTCGGTCGGGGTTTCAAACGTATTCCGGCGTATTTTGTATACAAAATCGTTTGTACGCGCGACAACGCATAATGTAATACAATATTATTATTATCATTATTTAGGTAAATTCATATTTATTTCGAAAAATATCCCCGCGCAGGACCGCAGTCGGAAGCCGTTTATTTTTCCATGGTTTGTAGGTATTGGGTAGTATAACTATAAATATTATTAGAGTTCGGACGTTGTAAGAATTTCCGTTTTTTTTTTTTTTTTATTTTAACTTTTAAATCGCTTTTTCGGAGTTTTAACGAATAATAACTTAATAATATTATATATTAGTGTTTCTATAGAGAATTATCTGTGTTTTTTAGGATTTGTGTTGCTTTTTTTAATGTTTTATGGACATGCAACATTCGAACTAATATTATTATCAAACATTTATCGGTGAAATTATTTTTAAAAATTATAACATTTTGTACGCGTAACAAAATTATGTATCATTTTTTTTTTTTTTTTTTTTACAACGATTTTAAATTTTATAACATTTAAATAATTTCAAATTAAGTTTTGTGTGTGTGTGCGTGAAGTGTGTAGTTTTTCGATTGTATAATTATTAATTTCGAAGGCGCCTGCACATTATAGTATAGAAAATAATAATGTTCTTCGAAACTACATTTACTTCTAACTTTACACTAACTTTTTTTACAGTAGAAAAAAAACAATATAATCCAACTTAAAACTGCCATTTTTTCATAACTCTATACTATGTGTATAATAAAACGTAAAATAAATCACGTTTGAATTCATTTGAGTAAATTAATATTTTAGAACAGAAATTTAGAAACGAAGCGAGGGGCTTTAAATAGAAAATTAGTGGTTTTTTTCGCGTAAGTTTTTTGAGACTACATATAGTAAGTAATGAAAATTGAATATAAATGGTTCTTAAGCAGGTTATTTTTCGGAATATGATTTTTTTTGAAATGTACTAGGTAATTGTTTTTTTTTTAAATGGAGGAAAAATTAGCCTATATATTACGTCTGGTCTAGAACTATATCTATGTGAAGTTTCAGTTTGATTTGTTTAGTGGTTTGACTTAACCTAACTTATAACAAACATTCAACCAAAGTTTGGATTTCAAACAAACAAACCTTCGCATTTATAATATTAGTAAGGTACATAACGAGTTTGAGTATATTAGGTGCAGTCTATTGTATAGTATTCAAAAGTAACATGAAAAAAAAATGTACAATACACTGTGAAAGTCGCTTATAAAACTCATTTTAGGACTAACACAAAGTGAGTCTTAGAACCAAATGAACCTAATAACTGTATTTCGAATTTAACTAGATATTTTCCGATTGGAAGTCGATAAAACGGACGGAGAACAAAAATAAAGAATCTAAAAATCTATTTCGATAATAAATAATAATATTTAAAAAAAAAAAAAAACGTTTATATGAGAGAAACATATTGGGTGGTAACTATTGACGTAACTGCGCAATCCGATAACACATATCGGACGATATTGTAGAGGATATCGGAATAAAGATATCGGGTTTTTTTCTAAAAGTAAAAATACGAATTTAATCCAATATATTTGAAGAAAATACGACTAATGTCTTTGAAAATCGGTTTATCGGTTAGGAAAGGAGTTTTCCGACGAAAAACGCGTTTTTTAACGAAACATCAACCGATTTCGATACAGGCTTACGTTTTTCAAAGTCATCGATTTTTATGTTGGCGATCAATGTTGGGTTAACAAAACAACGGACAAACATCATGTCGGGTCGTCACTGCATAATAACATTGTATTTGTATTATTACTACTAAAATAGTGGTATTTTGCAAAAAAAATTTGAATATTTTACTTTAAGCACCTACTTCCTATTTAGTTATCTAAACGCCCACCTAGTCACCCACCCACGAATATAAAAAAAACCTACGATTATTCATACTCGCAGAGCTACCCTCGCGTCGTCACTGTATTATTACAATGATTATCGTAACCAATGTTTTATTAGTTTACTGCAGTTAATTTTAAGCTGAATTAAAAAGGATTATTATTATACTATAGACTATACGGGAGTGATTGTTTTTGACAGTACAATCGGATAATTTGTAAATATTTATATCCTTGTCAACTTTGACCAACATGTCCACATATATACATTACATATTTATACATAAACATATTTGGTACCAAATTATAATACATAAATGTCATATACAGATACAATTTTTTAAATATATTAAATAATATAATTTACCCAATGGCGTAATTGAAGCTTAATCAAGGGGGAGGGGGGGAATTTAATAACTGTAACACACCAGGGATATAAATACAATTTTATTTTATTACTTATAGACTATACCACGGTTAAAACATTACCATTAAAAAATGCTAAGGGGCGATCCACCCTTTGCCTCCCCTCTTAGCTATGGTACTGGATTTCTCTAACTAAAAATCTTAAGTATATTATTGCATGTGTATACTTGACAACTTTATCTAATCTTGAATTAAAATTGTATGGCTTTAAAATTAGTACCTATGTTTATTTTTGAATTAATTAATTTAAACTTAGTAAATATTTAACAATTTAATTATGTTTTAATCGATTCGATTAAAAAGTCAAAAAGTGAAAACGAGAGTATTATTAGGTATACATATTATTTTTAATGATATTTTATTATTTTTATTATGTTATTATAATAGAACATTTTTAGGAGTATACCAAAACCTTTATTGTTTGGTCGATAACTAGGTATATTCAAGTTAATTAACCTTTGAAATATATTATAATTTAAACAAAGCAAACTCGATTCTATAAAAAATATAATAAATCGCATGTTAAAATATTTTACCTCATATTATTATCATTGAATTAGTAAATATTATATAATATTCATTGATGTAAACATAAAAAGACTTACATTTATAAAATAACAAGTTCAAAACATAATAACAATGAGATGTTTATTTGGCAGTAAAATCTATGCTTTAGAGCCAAGGAATGTGGCCAAATATTAAAGTCACTAATTGTTATTGTTATTTTTTTTATGAAAAATGATTTTAAATGTTTTGTGTATAGTAACAATTTTTTTATTTATTTATTATTTAAATTTATTAAGAAAATAAATATTCTACACTATAGTAATAAGAATAACATAGTACCTACTAAAAAATGTTCAATATTGAAACTCTGCAGTATGTATATTTCAGAACCATAACGTATGGAGTGTTTTTTTCCTATCTCAAAAATCACCCAAGATAGGTACATCAGCCATCTAAAATTTGTATTCATTATAAGCTTATAAAAAATAATTTTATTTTTTTTTTTATTTTCCATAAAATTAATAACGTATAAGACCATAAAATTAAAGAAATTAGAATACATATTATTTTAAAGAAACAAATAACCATATGTAAAAATATCCTAATATTTTAATATTAAACATAGAATACATTATTTTATAATTATATGTGTTTTAAATTTTTTTAATAATCGAAAAAATATTTCAATTTTTAATTAAACTTTAGATATCAGCCAATTTTTAAGATAGAATGAAATTGAATTGCAGGTAAATGATGCTTGAAAAATTTGCACTATTCAAATTTAGTGTTAAAAATTGAGTAGTTATTTTCATTTAAGAAAATTAATATTATGTTTTTAAATCTAAAATTTTAATTAGGTACTGTTTTATAAAAAATTAAATAAAAATAAACACTCATCAGTGATGTTACGGTGATTAATCGTTTTTTTTAGTAGAAAATTTTATCCTAAAAAACAATGAAAATAAAAATGTAGGTAGGTAAGTAGGTAGTGTATAATAATTTTATTCTTCTAATTTATAAACCGCTGTTCTTTTTTCAACGTGATGGAAAATAATCTCATACGCTACTTTAACAGCAGAAATAAAGAACTAATAAATACAAACAGATAGTATTGTATATAAAAATCGATTATTTTACATTATATTGTATAACACCTATATATTATATTATTTTTTGAAATTTTCATTTTAAACTTGTAAAATCAAAGAACTACTAACGATATTAAATGTGTACACTGTGCCTATATAGTTACAATAGATTATCTTATATGCAAAACCAATCACAGTTTTGACGAATATTATTATTTGATGATTTTGTATACTATAAATATATGCATATCATGCATAAACTTTTAAATCGATTATTTCCCGTTAAAAAATATTATATTCAAATATAATACTTAACACATTTTCAATCGTTAATTTTATAAGTTTTTTACTGTATATGTATAAATTAAAAACTGTGCATGCACATTGCACATTATACATGCATAATATTATATTACGCAATTGGAAACTAAATGGATGTCTACGCAGTAATGTACCCAGTA